AATTACATGATTTACAGTTCAGATACAGGTCTTCACAAAAACAAAATTCTTATACAACAGCATTTCAGCCTTTAGACCATTTTTATGAAAAGGGATAAATCAAGTATATAAATTATTATGTCAATTTAATCGTATAAATATCACTGTCTTAATTGTTTAGATTTTTAGAAGGCACATGAACTTTTTTCTCATTTACAACTCTGTGTTTGCTGCGTAAAAACATGAGTTGATATGTGCATTGATCTGACCATAAACAGCAAGAAAGGCTTATTGGAAATGCAAATTCATTCTCTGCCACGAGGTGGCGCTTTAGGAGCGCTGAAATATTGCGGTTTCCCCGGTAACGGCTGTACACAAAGCAGCTCTGCGCTCATAAATGCTGCTTTATTCAGGAATTATAGATCAAATGAAATTAAAATGCCAACGACACGTTTCTGAGGATAGTCGGTTCCCTTCAGATACATTCAAATAAAGACATCCGCATTTTGACTTGAAACGTGCAGCGCTCATATTTATTCAATGACATCATTGCCTTTTGAAGTTTAATCCAGCCGTATCGCGACTCTTGTCTTTCTGTCCCCAACTGTAAGACCTCTTGAAATTATAATTAAGACATTTCTTATACCATTTAACGTATTTAAAACTTTTTATGGCCTTAAGTTTGATACAACTCACTTTAGGAGTTTTTTAAGGACCTGCGGGAGATTTAAGATTTAAGACACACGTCGGGCTAGCAATTTTGCGAGCCCTGGGTTTTAACCTCAACTGCAACTTCTTAACTTTTATCCTGTCCTCATGAAATTGCTTAAAATATCGACTCTCAGAAGAAACTGCTATCATCATAAAATGAGAAACAAGTGACAGTTTGATTAGATATTTCTTAACTGTACGCCTGAAGCCGAAGCCTTAATACTATATCTAACTCTAAAGGCAATTTATAATGCAAGACCAGCTTTTCAGCTCTGTTCTCAATGTTTTAGCAATGAACCAAACCGCAATTGATACAAATTAAATTTCCTTTGCAGGGAAGACCCCACCACCCCAGAGTTCAATGTGAGTACTGTGGATGAATGGCTGGACGCCATCAATATGGGCCAATATAAAGACAATTTCGCCAGCGCGGGCTACGTTTCTCTAGATTCCATACTGTACATCAGCTTGTGGTAAGTTTGTTTACCTATATAAATACATTTACTGTATACCACCCTAGTGTATGTGCAGTGCAGAGGTGTAAAGTATTGGAGTAAATGTAATTAGTTACTGTACTTGAGTATATTTTTGGGTACTTTGTAATTGTACCGAGTATCAAATATATTAGCAACGTTTACTCTTTACTTCACTACATTTTTGAATGAGTATCTGTACTCTTTACTCCACTACATTTGAAATGCAGTTACACATTACATTTTGCATGGACCTAGCTTTTTCTGCAGCAGTTTATTTCTGCTACAAAAGACGTGATACTGCCTATTACAGGTCACTGAAAGTACTGCATCTTGTGCATTTTGCCCTTACTCACCCAAACTTTTCAACAAGGCTACTTTATGTGAATGCGAGTTCCTTAGCAAGTGTTTTATATATGAGATGAGGACATGACTGCAGCCGGCAATGAGGCCCAAACCAGCACATCCACTGCAAGAAGCCTTCGGCTTTTAATTTTACTTAATATTATTTTATTTATCCATTATACTGAAGAGACCTTTTTGAAAGATATTGTTTTTTTGTTTGTTTTGTTTTGTAATTTTGAGGTGTTAAGTTTTATTTTGGTTTTAGAAAATAAACGTGATTGCTAGTGTATGTGCAGTGCAGATGTGTAAAGTATTGGAGTAAATGTAATTAGTTACTGTACTTGAGTATATTTTTGGGTACTTTGTAATTGTACCGAGTATCAAATATATTAGCAACGTTTACTCTTTACTTCACTACATTTTTGAATGAGTATTAAAATCAGATACTCTAAGACTTTTACTCAAGTTGTTTTGGAATTGGTGACTTGTAACGTGTAGTGGAGTGCTTTTCACTGTAAGGTATCTGTACTTTTACTGAAGTATGGTTTTTAGTTACTCTTTACACCTCTGGTGCAGTGTAATATAATGAGCACACTTACACATGCACATTTTGGCTAGTAGACTATTTTATTTTATTTTACCTTTCAAATGTTTGGGGTCAGTAAGATTTTTTTTTAATACTATTACTTTAATTATTCTTTTATAATGTATTTTATTTCAAATAAATATATAGTTTAGTCATGAAACTCTAGATGGTGCAGGTTGATGTTCTGTTAACCTAACTGATGATATTCAGAGAGTTAAATGACTTGGCACAAGCTGATTGGTTCATGCTGCATATGCAGCCAATGAGCTCACTACCTTGCAATTCCACCAAGACCAAATACATTAACATTATCATATCCATCACCATGCTAAAATCTTCAGAGAGTTGTCATGATTAAAATGCTGTTCTTCTGAACTTTCTATTCATCACAGAATCTTAAAAAAAAGTATCACGGTTTAAAAAATATTAAACAGCACAACTGATTTCACCATTGATAATACAAAATTTTACATTATTATTAATGGCTGCAGAAAATTCAGCTTTGCCAACACAGGAATAAATTACATTTATTGAAATAGAAAACATGTATTTTAAATTGTACTAATATTTCACAATAGTACTGCTTTTACTGTGTTTGAGCAAATAAATGCAGCCTTGGTGAGAAAAAGAGTTTATAATGTTCAAAAACATGAAAAATGTTACTGACCCCAAACGTTTGAATGGTAGTGTATTGTTTTGTTTTGTTTTTGTTTTTTCACTTTACTAAGGTTTCTTGGTTTACTTTAACACACTGTTCTAACCAGTATAGACAGGATAACGTGATACATTCTATGTCTAGGATTTCTCTGTTATTCAAATTAAAATTTGTGTCCTAACCAGCTGCAGTAAGTGTCATGCAAAAAGGTTGCTTGGTTTGTATTTTTAAAACGTAGTGCTCGGTAGCTCCGCCCACACAAAAAAATCTCTTTAGTTCTAAAAGCATGCTCCACATTGCAGTATATTAAACATCAAATCTGATTACTGTACTATTTCACTTTCAGTAAGGGCAAAACAATTAGTTCATTTCCTGAACATTTTTTTTCTATCCCTCCTTCCTCAGTGAGTTAAGCAAGATGAGCGTGACTCTGGTTGGGCACCAAAAGAAGATTGTCTCAGCCGTCCAGAGTTTGCATGCACAGGGGACTCATGTGCAAATATAACAAGCCTTCTCCACTGCCTGAGAGCGTACAGACTGAGAGTTACCAACTGCTCCCACCACACTCCATATCAGCAGCTTCACCATACAGTTCCCACCCTGGATGTTTCCGCATACAACCCTTTCGTCAGCGCTCTGGTTTCCGTCCATGCACGTCTGAGCTTCCTACAGGCAGAGGGACACACTGAGACTGATCTAAAATCGCTTAACAAGGCCACGGCAAATCAGATATGAAGTATGGTTATTAAACACAAAAGAGAAACAAAAAAGGAACAATAATACATTAGGGAGAATTCACAGCTTGTGTTTTACAGTTTCAACATTTTGCATTTCATATTTGACGTTTTGCATATCAGTGGTCGGACTGTTATTCTTAAAAGGAGGATTGTTGTTTCTTTTTTCTCACATCCACGTTTCGGATATCAGTCTGTCCTCCTACATCACTTATAAGCCACAGTAAAATATCAGATGATGTTTACAGTATATTTATTTTGTCATAATTGAGGCAGCATTTGAGCTCAGATGGTTTCAGGTCGCAGCTTCCAGTATTGAGGCGAAAAGGCAACAGAGGTTTGCGTTCCACCAGCAAAGATGGCCGGAAACATCTGCAACGACAAAGGAGACATCTAAGGCCATGCCATGCACAGGACAAGATAAGCTGAGAAATAATTGCTCTCCACTCATCGCTGTGTTGCTTATGCAAACAGTGCAAGCATTTGAATAAGAAATAGAGAAAGAGACTTCTCAAACACACTTCCAGATGTCTTAAATAAAATAGAAAAGTTATTTCTATCCATTCGCCACACAGATATGCCAACGTGTTGTACCACTGCAAGGTTTGTGCACATCAGATCAAGCAAAGACAACTTCGAAAGGTCATTATGAAGTGTGCGTGCGCTCTTGTGCACCACGTTTGCATTGTCTTTACATTTACACTCGTAGTGCGTGACAACTATTGTACTATAGTGTATAAAATGTACAGTGTTGATTTAAAAAAAAAAAAAGAAGACGGAAAAACTAGAATGTTTGCAATGATGTACTTTTATTTACTATGAAGAGGAGAAGTGGCCAAGTGGTGGCGTTATCACCGTCGTTTGCCGATGTGCGGTAATAACTCATCTCTGGAATGTAGCATGGATGCTAAACTTCATCTTTGATTGACAGGTGACAGTGACTGCAGTTTTTCACCAAGTGGTGCCCTTAGCTGCTTGACTTTAGATGCCTTATTAACTTTGCAGTTCTCTCTTTTTCTCATCCTCCCCTTAGAAACGTTATCAGGAAGTATAATGTATATAGTATTTATCATTGCGTCACTGAGAAGCTGGAGCTCGATGTTAAAGCCAGGCTCGATGTTTTTACCGTTTTAGTCTGCTGTTTGTGGAAACACGTTCGATCTGCGCCGCTCTCGCCAGAGGCACAGATGCATGTGGTATAGGAATGGAGAGGTTTTCATGACTCTATTGGGCTGAACTAAATTCCTCTTTAATGAGACTGATTTGCTGCACTGTATATTTTTGTACTAGTGAGGTTGTTCTGTAAAGTAGAAGTATACCTGTTTTATTTAAATATATATGAGACATAATTACAGGAACAGTTGGAAATGAGAGATAATCATACTTCAAATCATGATTCCCTGACGTCATTTCACATTTTGATTCCTTTTATGTCATTGACTGTGATGCTTCAGCACAACACTGTAACTAATTGCAAGACTTGCTCGGAATCTGTAGGGTTTTTTTCCCACATTTCCTGCACTGCTTTTGTGGGAAAATCTGTGAAATTTTGCTGAAAGGATTTGAATATGCTAAAATTTCTTTATTCAAAATGGAATTATAATGAGTTAAAAAAAAAAAAAAATGTCAGAATTCTGTGATCACAGATTCCGTGTGGGTTTAACTAAGCACACATAACCACAGTTCCTTTCATCATTTTTTAAGGAAAATCCATCATCACCTGTTATTAGAATATGTATAACTGGATACTTTTCATAAAAGGTGAAAATCCAGAAAATTACATCTCAAGCCATGTTTAAAATGGTGACATATTTAGTTCCCCTAATTAAAACGGCATACACAACAATACAAATCATCAATCAAAAATATAAATCATAATGATAAATGCAAGGATCACTACTATTGCACTTTTCTTTAGTTTTTCCCATGAGTATTTTATATATCCCATGAGGAAAAAAAACACTTCCTTAAACAAGTGATAATGCATTTAGATTAATTAATTTGTTCTATCCTGAGATTGTTAATGAATCTTTATACACTAAATCTGAGATTTCAATAGGTAAAATAATTGCAGAAGGCCAGAAACTCATCCATTTTTATTCTAATTTTTCAATCCAAAATTAAATCCATTCAACTCTGTCTTGGGAGGCAATATGTGGCAAAATTGGCTGCAGAAAATTGCACTGAAATAATAAAAACATGATAATGATGATAGTGACGGTGATGATAATAGCAGAATTAATGACCATTAATAAAACATAAGCTCCAGTTTTTGCTACTGCAACATAAACTTTCCAGTTTTGCAACTACAGCTAAATAAAGAATTGTATATATCTGCTCACCAAATGAATCAAAGCAGGTGGTTGTGTGACTGAACAGTGTTAGTGGCAGGATGTGGAATGTTGTTAATATGATAGAAGATGATCGATGAATCTTGCTTATAAATTGTCTATCGAGTTGTTGTCTTTTGTTCTGCCCCGGCTCTGTACATGTGTTTGGGCTGATCCTTTTGTGAATGATCTCTGTTTTTTTTTTTTTTTTGTAAGCTATGTGCCCATCTCTCCACACACTGCAGGTTTCTATGAGCTCGCAAAAAAAGGGTGTACGCATTGAGATTCTTCATGTCGCTGTAATAAATGCTAATATTTTTAATTTCTCACCTGAAGCTTTGGCATCTCTTTTCCTTCTTTAAATTGCACTTACGGTTCTTCATACACACACAAAAATGGTGTAGAAACAATTTTTACTAAGAAATTGCTAGTAAATTTCACAAACAATTGCAAAGAAATGGCAAGAAACATGGAATTTAACATATTTTGAAGTAGAAAGTACATTTTCTTGAAAAATGTACTCTGATAATCTTTGCACTATTTACATTCTTTGTATGCATTTACTGTATTTTATTATGGGAGACACCATGGGAGACAAATGTTTTTACACCTAAACATACAGATGAGAGAGAGGGATGTAAAAATGTTGACTATGACAGTGCACTACATGAAATTCACAATACCTATTGTATTGCACATCCAAAATACTATACAATAGATGTTTTCAGTAGTAAAACATTTTTAAAATAATCCATAATATACATCTGAGTGTAAATTGACCCTCTACACTTTCTGAATTGCACGGAAATATTACAACCAAATTGTGACTAGTTAGGTTTCTTGATGCACTGAATTATTTAGAAAATAATCAAATAGTAATCAGATCGAACATCAAAGCAATCATTTACACCCCTATAAAAATGCCTTACACATATTAGAATCAAACTAGAATCATATTGGAATCAAATTGTGACCAAATTTCAAATTTCATGATTCACTGGATTATTTAGTAAATAACCAAATAGTTAGATATAAATTAAATATATACACATGTAAATAAAAAGATACATTTATATATTATTAAATATATTATATATTTATATATATATATATTACTATTTAGTAAGCTAAATAAATCATTATAATTATAAATTATAATTATTAAAAATGCCTCCAAGAATTGTTTAAATTTATGTGCCACTAAGAACAACTACATATTAAAACGTTCAGTAGAGCCTCCTAATGAGGCTGTAACTGCAAAAAGTTTTGATTTTTATTTATGATTTATGTTAAGGAAAACAGGGCCTTTTTGACCTGCGTGCTGTGCTGTGCTGGAGACGGATGTCATATTCTCCAGAGAGAGAACGGGTCAGAGGAGGTCAGCTTTTAAAAGCACTCCTGCCTCTCTTCTCACTCTATGTTATGGCCATTACAACCAATCCCCACTCTCTCTTCCTCTCCTTTGTCTTGCTGTGCATTATACAGCACACACACACATCATATGGAACACATAGTCATTTTTCAGTCATCATTAGTATGGCAGTCAGACAGATTTATGGGCAGCCTATAGGGCCACAATAATACAATCAGCAGGCAAGACACATATGAATATTACGGACGGTTTTTCAAACAAATCCTATTGCGTTACAGAAGTTCAAACAGTACACAAATCATGTCTAACAGTTCGCTTTTGCCATAGTGGGTTCGTTACATGTCAGAACGGGCCTCTCTGCCTCGGCTGAGAACAGAAAAAATGAAAGTAGCTTCTCCATTTAATGAGTATTACATGGTCTTTTGTGTTCCCATTACACAGTAATAAAACATGGAGTGTTTATAGAGTAGACAAATCACAAAGATGGGAAGTCTTCTTGTTAAGCAAAGAAGTTAAAAAAAAGGTATTATCAACGTTTATTTTGTGTGTGATTGTGAGCTTGTGAAGTGTGTGTGGGGCGATCATTCAGGGTCATTTTTACAAGGGGCAGGGCTTTCTAACGCTGCTGTCCGAAGCCTCCGGAGATCTGAGTGGATCTATATCGCACCATCCAGGCTCGGGCTCCTGTGTTCTTTTAATGCCTTCTGCACTCACATTAAGAGACACCTAAGCCCCCGTCTGACAGCATGACTGAGCGGGGTAATTAGACTAAACACCCTCAGGACTCACTACCGTGTGTGTGTGTTACAGAGAGAGTGAGTAAAAGTGAATATGTTTGCTTAGTGTGTTTCTACATTTGTTCAGAGTTCTGTTCGGAGTTTGAGCACACGCCCGACAACCCCATCCGTCATGTTTTGGCCTTTCGAGCCTTCTTCGCCTCACCATATAACCTTTTCAAATTATGTCGATGTGTATTTCAAAATGAATCAATATGTCCTACTGTGGCCGATTGTTCGCATCTGCTAATATATGGACTTGGGCCTAATTTGTGGTTTGGTAAAATGACACATTATCACGAGGTGATCCATCACGCCATCTTAAATGACAGCCGGTCATCCTTTCTGCCCTGCTTACTGGTGTCATATGATTGTTTAATATGGTGAACATGACAAAGAGAGATTGAAGAGGATTCAATTTGGGTCACGTGACTGGATGGCGCGACTGTCCAGGAACCCATCTGTTCCCACTGCGCTCTCTCTTGGCTGTTTAACTGGGAAGCACTTAATACATTAAGCTTGGACACATATTTCTTGAATGCTAATTCAAAGCCACTCCAATCCAATCTGAAAATGAAATATAGTTAGATAAATGCGCAAATAAATTCAAATTACTTACTTATTTCTCTTAGTTGTGGCCTAGTGGCTGTTTTTTAATTTGTTAGTCTGTGTCTGCTGAACCTAGACAACTAATGCTGTTTGAGCAGATGTTGCTTTTCATAAAAATACAAAATGTGTGAGTTTTGTAAACCAAACCAAATCACATTTGTTGCTCGGCGAGAAAAAAAAACCCAGCTGGTTTGACTCACTTATTGAGATACTGGGTGAACATGTGATTGCGCGCAGTCCTCTGTGTTTAATATGATCCGGCTCCTCACTGAGCTATTGTTTGACTGTGGTAGAAGATGAGCCACAGGAAGTGTGGGAGAATTTCAGCTCACAAAGGGGATCTTAACGTTTAACTAGATTAGTCCAGCCGTCATCCTAATCCACTTCAGCAAAACACATCTATAGGGACGGCTTACTTACAAACAGCACTGTCATGGCTGTTGTAGACATGTTCAGAGAATGGTGTTTTTGAAGATTGTACAGTTAGACCATTGTAAGCAGCTTTATTAAAATTGACAATCAGCCACACTAGGACACAATGAACAATTTGCATTTTCAATAGAGGCTTTCTTGTAGCTCCTGAACATTTTTTTTTCATATTACGCCCCCAAAGTAAAATCTTAGTGCTTGAATGGTGGTGTTGTCTTGTGGTTAAAGATCTGGTTATGTTATCAAAGTCGGTGA